ATTCTTTATTGTGTTAAGTTTTTTGAAGTATCAAAAAAAAAAAAGGTAATAAATTGTACCTCTCCTCAAAGAATTCAACATTTGAAGAGCCAAGAAACAGAATTATATACAATGAATTATGGGTTACAATATAAAGAATATGTATGTAATTTTAGAACTCCAAAAATGCTATTGACAACAAATATTAGGCCCCCAATTTCTTTTTTGAGCTATTTTCTCATGTGTCACAGGGACACTGCAAAAACCAAAATGCAAATGACATGAATGTTCTCTGTAAGCTGTAAATCATTATACAAATGCAGCAGAGTGGGGAAACCGGCAGACCTAAATCAAGTCATTAAAATTAACATTATCAGTAATGGGAGAAATCAAGATCTAGAACTAGAATCATAGTAGTAATTCTAGGTTATTTCATCAAAGATAAATCATATGGATCTAATTATGATGAAATACCAGAACAACAAAACGAAACTGAGGGATACTCTACAAAATTACTGGCCAACCTATGATCAAGAAAAAAACTTAGGAATTATTCATGATTAAAGAAGACTAAAGAGATTATGACAATTAAATGCAACCAATGCTCCTGGATTGGATCTTTTCTCTACAAAGGGATCATTGTTGAATGGGGTCTGTGAATTAAGTTGCAGTTTATGCATCAATGTTAACTTCCAGATTTTGATGGCTGTACTGTAGGTTAAACAGTGGACTTCAAGGTCAGTAGTTGAAATTCAGGAGCCACAACTCCCGAACCCTGTATAGGGTTGCTATGAGTCATAACTCAGCCAGTGGTTACTTAACAACAGTTGTAGTAACAGAAGAGAATTTTTTTTTGTAAGGCTTGGACACAAATGTTTAACTTACTCAAGAAAATTGTGTAAGTTCACTAAACATTTCTGTAAATTTGCAGTTGTTTAGTTCTGTGGTGGTGTAGTGGGATACATGTTGCGTGGTTTGAGCCCACCAGCATCGGGGAAGGATGAGGGTCTACTCTCTTGAAGATTTACAGCCTTAGAAAACCCTATAGAGCAGTTCTACCCTACCCTGTCAGGTCATTTTGAGTTGGTATCGATTTGATGGCAGTGGGTAGGTTAGTATAAAAACTGAAATTGAGAGTATCATTGGTAGACTACGGCTGGCTGGATTTAGAGATCATATTGTGGCCTGATTTCTTCTTCCTCTTCCACTGAACCTAGTCAAATGAGGATAACGTGATTAAAAATGGAATAATCTAAATCAGGGGTTGGCAAACTTTCTGTAAAGGATTAGATACTATTTTAAACTATACGAATCAGTCTGTTATAACTACTCTCCCATTGTACTGGAAAAGTCAGACAGTACATGAGTTGAGTGGTTGTGTTCTTATAAAACTTTATTTATGGACAGTGAAATTTGAATTTCACACAATTTTCATGTGCACAAGATAGTGTTTTCCCAACTATTTACATATATAAAACTCATCCTTAGTGTGTGTTGTCCAAAAAAGGTTGATTTGGCCATGAACTTTAATTTGCCCTGACTTCCTCAACACTTAGATTTTCAAATGGGCATTAGAAGAGGTCATATTATTAAGCACATTATTAGCCTCCGTGAACAACTGCATGCTTGGCCATGGGACCAGAACTGGATGGTGCCTGGCTACCATTACCAAACATTTTGATCAAAGATTTTATAGAAGAATCCTGATCAAAATGGGGGAAATATAGAAGACAATTTCAAATTCTCATGAAATTCAGTTTCTGGAGCCATAGTGACTGGATGAACTCTCAAAACTATTGTTCTGAGATAATCTTTAAACCTTAAACCATAAATATCCCCTGAAGTCTTCTTGAAGCCAAACTATAGTTTACTTAATTAGTAAAGAATGTCTGGCTTGACCTTCATGCTCTTACAAGGTCTATTTGGTATCAAATTGACAAGAGCAACTCAAAAGATAAGGCAGAACCTTAGGGGGCAGTGAGTTTATGTTAATGGTGGAGAAACAACTCAGCAAAGGGGGTGAGAATGGTTTGTACAACTTACCTAATCAGTGTACATGTAGGAACTTGAATTGGTATATTTGTATATCCTCAATTTTTTTTAAAAAAAATCTAACTATGTATATTAGGACTTAAGGGAATAATTAGAGAATCTGATACACAGACTACACAAGATACAGGTGAATGCTTAGAGAATGAACAGGCCCTGCTTAGGAAGAATCATGATGCTTTTGGACTCCTACTTCCACACATTTCTTCTGTCTGATGGAACTTAACTCTTAACCCACAAAAAAATTCCAGTCCTTGTTTGGTATTTAAAAAAAAAAAGTAAAAATGTTTTGCTTAAATTGGTATAGTAAAATGATCCATCAAAAGAAATTGCTTAAATTGGTATAGTAAAATGATCCATCAAAAGAAGCATTTCTAAAGTATTTGTCTTAACAGGAGTGCACAACCTGGGCTTTAGGTGAGGGACTAGAAACAATAATAAACAATTATAGTATTTCAGAATTTGAGAGGCCATTGGAATAAATTTCAAGGAACAGTGGAGCCTAAAGCAATAGTTAACTGGGAAAGAGAAAGACTGATAAGACTCACTAATAGTCTAAAGTTCATTGAGGTTCTGAGTCTAGGAGATAATAGTTTCAAGGATAAAATGAGGGGATTTGTGAGGGGTAGCTAAAATTAAAATTGTGAGGAAGAGTTTTAAGACATTTCAATATCTAACAATCTTAAATCCACCTGAATATAAGATTCAGAATTCCCTTCCAAATAGCCATTGAAGCAGTCACTGGAATCGGCATTTGATTTTTTTTTAATAGTTTAGCAATGTACCGAGAAGAGTAAAATTGGCATCTAATACACGTGACTTGTATCTTGTTGTTCATTAAATCTATAAGCATAAAGACCACTGTTGTTAAGTGCCGTTGAGTTGTTTCTGACCCATAGTGACCCTGTATAGGGTTTCCAAGGAGCAGCTGGTAAGCTTGAACACAGACTTTATGGTTCAAAGAGACTTTGCAGTCCAGTGCATTGGCCCACAATACCAAAAACTGGGACTATATAAACTTAGTATTTTCAAAAGGTTGTAATATGTTTTTTTAAATCTCAAAAGAAACTCAGTTATGCAACTAAAGTCAAGGATTATCCTAACATATTTTTGGACCTTTCATGGAACATTAAACTACCATTTGGGGGCATTGAAGAGACTCATTGCACAGGTTAGAAAAAGCAGCTCCAGTCTGGAAAAACACAGGTTGCTTCATCTTAGCTCAGCAGCCCCCATGGCAGGGAAAAAAGGAAGTTGAGGAGGATAGGCATCAAGCAAGGAAAGTAAGTCTGAAGACTCTTCAGCAGGAGAAACCCCATGGAACACAAATTACCAAACAGTGATTGACAATGATTTATTAATGGCCAATTAGTGTATATATATGTTTTATTTCAAATAGTTCATATCTCCTTATATGCACATGAGTAAAAATCCAAGTTCATCTTTTTTCTTTTTTCTTTAACCTCCAATATCAAATGCTCTCTACAAAATATGTGCAAAACCCTATGTGCTAACTTGTGGGTAAATTCTTCATATACTTTTTTCACTGTGAACACTTTACCAGTTTGCCTATGGCTCAGACTCGGTGCACCAACTCTTTCCTTCAGCACATCTTTCTCTTAAACATACTTCAGACTTCCCAAACCTACTTTCTGACTGTAAACAGTTAGCTGGAGTTAGGAACCAGTGGAAGGTTGTTTACTAGTATATTTGCACAATGTGTTAAGCAGGTAGCCGCTAATATGTAGATTTCTGGAGAGTACATACTACCCAAGCTATTTATTATGATAATCCTTTATTCACTTGGCACATTTGATTCCTTTGCATTGTCTTCAATTCTACATGACAGTTGTGGCTACCAAGAACTGGATAATCAGTCCTTCAATGACATTTGTAATTTCTAGGCATGATTATTAGGGTGTCCCAGTTATTTCTAACAGGTGACTGCATCCAGTCCATCTTCTACTCTATATAAAAAAGTCATTCTCAAAGTAGCCATTGTGTTTCTTTTATAAAAAGGTAATTAAACTGGCTTTCCTCCAAATTGCCATGCAATTTGGTACAAAAGCAGGAAATCCCTTTTTATTAAAGGTAAAAACCAGAAAAAGACATTTCACATTAAAAAAAAAAAAATCCTTCATAGGAACATGTCCTAAGTAAATAATCAGTTATATGGACAAAAATTTTACATATACAAACTTTTTGAAAAAATTATTTAGATGGTTTCTAAATTTTCGTTATTATAATCATCAGTATCGGAATGGTTAAAGAAATGGAGTGACATCTATTAAACAGAATAGTTTATAGCAATTAAAATCATGTTTTGTAAAATTTTTAATGCCATAGGGATATGTGGCAGTGCTGGGAGAAAAAACAAAACTGTTTACAATAAGATCCCAATTAAGTAAGAAAGCATGTGATATACAAATAGGTATAGAGAGTAGAAAAAGGTTATTAATGGTGGCTACTTCTGGATTGTGAGATTATCAGTAATTAATTTTCTTTATTATACATGTCTATATTTTTAAAGTTTTTGACAATGAATAATTATGACCCAAAAGACACATAGACTATAAAAAAATTCCTCTGATGTACTTGTAATTAAAATGTACTTGGTAACATAAATATGTGGAAACAAATAGTATTTAGTTTTCATCTTCTGTGACTTTTTTAGAGTACATAGTCTTTTGGTGATAAATGTACATTCCCTGTTTGTATATACTGATAACATTTGGATAAAAAGATACTGTGATTAGAGAGCATTGTTTGTTTCATAATCTTAAATACTGGCATTGACATCTAGGATTTTCTAGATCTAGTAGTATCCTTTTATCTCTTTAAGGCATACTGCATACATATATTATATGCATGCTTTCTTAAAAATTATTCTAATTTATAATTTTTCTACATAAGGAAAAAATGAAGTTATGGTAGTTAAAAGAAGAAGGCTATAGTCTTGTTCATCACAAGCATGCTGATAGGTATAAATACATGTTTATTAAATGAAATGTATCCTTTAAGAATATAAAAAGGGAAGGGGCTGTATGTAAATTAAATTGTAGAGTCAATAAGTCAGAATCTTTTCTGACAGGCACCAAACCACACAAAATCTTTAAAACTCTAGTTAGTGCAGTCTGAATGGACACTCCAGAGTCTATTAATGAATTCCACTTCCTACTTTCAAAAGAAATGGGGACCAGGATGAGGACTGTCACATAAGCTAATTTTCAATATATGTCAAGTCTTGTGGGGGCTAGGAACAAATACTGCCATTGGTTAGTGTTTAAGTACATGAGTTCATTTTCTTCCCACCTTGCCTTTGCAATTTGGTAGGGTGAGGCTGTTCATTCCTCAATGGATGATGGTTGACTCTTCATCATTAGTTTTCTTTCTAAACCACAGAGTGGTCATTGCTATGAACGCCAGCCAAGATGGTGTGGTTGAGGGAGGAAGCTGAGCGGTCGGAGCCTTCCGTGGGGCCGCTGGTATTCTCACTACGTTGGCAACAGAGGATCTGTCGGAAGGTGGCACTCATCTCCTTGTCACGGTAGGAATAGATGATGGGGTTCATGGCAGAGTTGAATTCAGCAAGGAGAAGGAAAAATTTCTCATAAGCCAGAACATCACACTGCGGACAGCATACATCTAGAAGTAGTAAGACCAGTCCAGGAGTCCAGCAGATGATAAAGGCACCTTCAGTAACATGAGCAGGGATCAAGAGGATTCAAAGAGAAACAGAGAAAAAGAAAAACCTTTACTTATGAAAATGACAATGTTAGTAACCTAAACAAAAACCACTGAAACTCTAAGCTACTAGATAACCATTTCAAATTAAATGTTCACCTGAATATTTATATCAATGCTGATTATTTTTAGCAAAACATGAAGATTAAGACACACTTCACAACTTACAACACATGGCTTTCAGGCAAAAGATAAGCAATAATGACAAAGGTCCCTTGTTTTTTAGTTAAAACTCAGTTTCTCAATTCACATTGCCTGTGTTCACACCCTTGGTTTGCCATTTAATACATTTGGGTGAAGTTAGGAAAATCATTTCTCTTACTTCAGCTTTCTCAGCTGAAAAGTATTAATGATCATGTTTAACCTCATTGAGTGTGGTGCCATATGATAAGAACTCAAGGTAGGTCTAAATCACAAGATCGGCAGTTCAAACTCACCAGCTGGTATTCAGAAACCCTACACATGGCTGCTAGGAGTTGGAACTGACTAGATAGTCAGCCCTGGAATGGTGCCGTAAGGTAAGCACTGGATTGCTAACCACAAGGTTGGCAACCCACCAGCTGTTCTTTGAAAACCTATACAGGCTCGGTTTGAGTTGCAACCCCACCAATCAGTATACTGGGAGTGCAGTGGCTCTGTAGGCTTTAAGCACAGGGTTACTACTAAATCACAAGATCAGTAGTGTGAGGTCACCAAGTGCTCTGCTGGAGAAAGATGAGGCTTTTTGATCTCGTAGAGATTTACAGCTTCAGAAATTCTATACAGAGTTGCTATGAGTGATAGTCATTTCAATGGCAGTGAGTGGAGGGAAATCAGTATATATTATCTGTTCAGTGCTGTCGAGTTGGTTCTGACTAGTTCTTGTTGTTATTATGTGGCATGGAATTGGTTCCGACTCACAGGGTTTCCGAGGCTATAAATCTTTATGGGAGCAGAAAGCCTCATCTTTCTCCCGTGGAACTGCTGCTGACCATGAGATTAGCAGCCCGATTCATAACCACTATGCTACCAGAGCAACCCTTTATAGGGTGTCCAAGGAGTGGCAGGAGGGTTTGAACTGCTGACCTTGTGGTTAGCAATCCAGTGCTTATCCTATAGCACCACACCAGGATCTTTAGGAAATAGCGATTTCTAATGATAATATATGTATTTTATTTTTATTCAACTATCACAATAGAAGCTTATTTAATCCCCACCATAGCTGCAGGAGATGGAAATTACTCTCCCCCATTGTACAGATGAAGAATGCGAAATCCAAAAAGGTTAGCTCAAAGGCCTACTTCCAGAAAATGGCAGACAGAAGACCAAAACACTACCATCTTATACCTCCATTTATTGAAACTATTAAATAGCTTAAAAACAAAATTTATACTTCAGTTGTTTTACTAATCTAGACCAGTTTAGTTCTCGTTTTTTTCTCATTAAGTAAAATCATTAAGATTTTACTCTAACTGTAAGAGGACTGGAAAATTACATTTTCTTTAGTTCTTAAAATCACTTACTATTGGACTCCTAGGGAAATAAAGGTTGTGCAATAGCACTGAAACCTACTTCTGTTTTGGTTGAAAGAACATGAGCCAACAGGACCCATGTGCACCCTCATGTCTCATTACTTGGTAGTTACCTACTGGGCACCATATGTGTGACCTGACTACCCAATGACTAGGCAGGAAGTATCAATGATCCCAGCAAGGCCTTAGAATTATTGGAGTTAAATGTAGGCTGGTCTAGGTGGACACAGGCATGGACTCGGGTCTTGGATTTGAACTTTTCATGAAACTCATTCCTTGAGAAATGTAAATAAATAAGATTCAGCTTCCAAACAGCCCAGTTTTGAATGAGAGCTTTCTTTTTTGAACTTTTTTTCAGCAGGGAAATGAAAATAAAGAATGGAGAAAAGTACACCCATAAAGCTCTTTGTTCTACAACTGAATGTGTATTGGTTTTAAACTGCTGTTCACTTTGAAGACAGTCCAAGGTACTTAATTTTTCTAATAAATACAATACCTTAGACTTTGCTTACCAAAAAAAAAAGTTTCAAGTATCAGGAGATAATAGTAAAGACTATTTCAACTTGGAATGAATATTAACATTTTCACTCTTAAGTCCTTAAATTTCCTTGCTTGAAAATCACTCAGAAAGCTAAACATACAAGGAAATCAAAGAATGCCTCTTGGGTTTCAGAAATAATGCATTACTTATTGAGAAGCCAGGAAGAGAATTATTCTCAGGGTGGAAAATGCTTGGATGGAAAATGCATGGTTCCATTATTCCATTTACTTGGAAACTGAAAACACACAGGCCCTTCATGAATGGGAGCGCATTCTTTCAAGTTTCTTTTATCAAAGCTCTAATTGAGCTCAGATTCAGAGCTTGATTAGATACCAACAACAAGCAACTCCATAGATGAATTTTAAATTAAACGATCATTTTTCTCCTTCCAGGAGGCAGAAAGTGAACATCCTTATGTTGACAGAATTCAAGTATGTACAGTTGACAGAATTCAAGTATGTACAGTTATTTATTGTTCATGAAACTTTTTACCGTTAAGTCCATTCCAACTCATAGCAACCCGATATAGGCCAGAGTAGAACTGTTCCGTAGAGTTTCTGCTGCTATAATACTTACGGAAACAGACTGCCACAGCTTTCTCTAATGGAGATTTGAACTGCGCGGTAGTGGTTGTTATGTGCCGTGGAGTCAGTTCAGACTCAGAGCAACCCTGTACAGGGTTTCCATGGCTGTAAATCTTTATGGGAGCAGAAAGCCTCATCTTTCTCCTGTGGAACAGCTGGTAGTTTTGAACTGCTAACCCTGAGGTTAGCAGCCCAATTTGTAACCACTACAGTACCAGAGCTCCTTGGTTCTTGGTTTGCAGCCTAGAACTTCATTTGTTGTTTATAGTCTCTTCTGCTTTAAAATTAAAAACCAGCTAAAAGTCTCTCCAAAGGAATCATGGTCTTAGTAAACTAGCCTATGGGACTTCATGTAAGGTAAAAATTACAAGGAACCTTGCTAGATCAGAGACAGGAAAGTACACAAGTTAATATATGTGAACATTTCACTGAGGAACTTAGAGTTTCTCCTTTCTTTTAAAAAAAGGAACTGTGTGTTAGGACTGTGATTAGGCCTACTGTACACTGTCTCAACACTCGAACAAATAATTTAACGGAGTCATAGTACAATCTAAGTACAATCTAAAACCAATCAGACAAGGGGGGGCTTCAAAAAGTTTGTGGAAAAAATCCATTGCAATTCCGTTTTCCACAAAATTTTTAAAAGCCCCTTCACCGAGGTATCAAGGATCAAACTAAGGAAAGAGAAAATGGGGCCTGGAAAATTCCAAGATAATTAGGCTCCTAATCCATATTGATGAATAACTATTCTGTAATGACTTGCTCAAATTGTGACATTTCCCTATGCTTCTAAAAACAAAAAGCATGCCATACTCAAGCCCCTTTATCATAGTCCACACACGTAACCTACCCCAGGGTTATGGAGACTCTTCGGACTCATAGGGACCCTATAAGGACAGAATAAACTGCCCCTTTAGGCTTTTGAGACTGCAATTCCATAAGGGAGCAGCTGATGGGTTCACACTTATGTGTTGGGCTGCTAACCTCAAAGCCCAACACATAACCCACTACTCCAACAGAACTAATAAAAATGAAAGGAACCTCCATCTTAGCATCTGTAAATTAGAGAGGCGGTCATATGTGTGATAAGGATCAAGCTGAGCTATAATATGTAAAAGTCTACTATAAACCATATCTACCTGAGTGCCACTACCTATTGCCAATGTACGTGGCACGGGCCAATGTAGGAACAGGGCAAATGTCCCCTAGGGGGTCCATGAAAGCATGCTCTGAATGGTGGATATCTAGCGCTGCACAAAACGGGGAGATGATGATGCCAGTCTAGTTGTAAGAGCTTCCTAGGGTTTACAATGTGGTGAGAGGGAAGTAAAAAGAAGGAAGATGGGAACACAGAGAAGAATGGGATCTCCGGGTCATTTTGGAGGTTCTCAGTAGGCCAGTGTTTTAGGTTGTTTTTATATTTTCCAGCACATTTTAAATTGATTCCTAACTTTTATGCCTTGTTCTGTGGGGATTCTTTCAATCATATGCAAGTCAGATGAAGTACAAGTATTTCAGGAGTACTTTGGTAGAGCAAGTGGTTAAACCCTAACAGAAAGGCTGACAATTCAAAGAAATTCTGAGGCACCCCAGGAGAGAGGTGATCTGCTTCCAAAAGGTCTGAAGCTTGCAAAGCCTAGGGAGCAGCTCTGCTCTTCACATAGCCAGTCACCGTGAGTTGGAATCAACGATATAACAACTAACAAGAAGTAGTTTCTTAACTATTGTGAAGTCAGAGCAGCAGATGATAAAGAATCTACAGTTATGTTGTGAAGTGCCGTCAACTCGATTCCAACTCATAGTGACCCTCCCTGTATAGGGTTTCAGAGGAGCAGCTGGTGAGCTTAAACTACTGACCTTGCAGTTCAAATGGCTTTGCAGCCTGGCTCATTAACACACAGCGCCTTTATATCTGGCTTGGTTGTTGGAACTGACTCAACACCACTTAACAACTCATAGCAACCCCATATAGGGTTTTTAACCTTGCAGTTCAAAGTCCAATCCTGCTTCTACTGCACCATACACGGGGAGTCTGGGCATTTACATTTTTCTAGTTCAGCATTAGTTCTCAAGTCTAGCTATTCATTACAACAGTCTGCCAAACTTATAGAAAACAATAATCCATGAGATTTTAGTTTTATTGGCCGTATTGACCAAATTTTCATTTAACAAACAACTTTGGAAAATTGTGGAGAAGAAAAGATCAGGGTAAAGGTAACGACAAAAATAGAAGGCATTTCCAAAATCTAGAGGAGAAGTAATGAAAGGCTGAGTCCGAACAGTGGCCATGGGGAGAATGAGGTGTGGAAAGAT